GTTATATCAGATTCACATGAACCTTTACACAGTATAGTATTGTGTCAAGATAGATGTAGGGACACAATACGGTCAGGGTCAGACAGTTTTAGACTGACATCAGTGTTTTCCTCCACAGGGCTGTTGAGGAGGAGGAACATGTGACGACTACTCTGGAGCGAAATAAGGGCAACCTTGTGAAGGAGGAGAAGAACTGTGTCATACAGTGAAGCTGTAGATGGCTGCTGGGGACTCACTTACTAAAGAAAGATTCAGAACTCAAACAGCTCGTGTTTTTCTCTGTCTGGCATAGGTTGTCGCTTTGTTGCCCCAGAGTGATGCTGAAGACTTTTTGTAGATTGATCATGTTTTGATAACTAGTGTTATTAACTGATACAGTTTGATATCTGGCTATAAGTGGTGAAGAACCTGTGATCATTCAGGCAAAGGAAAATTTTGAAGTCTTTATGAAGGTAGAGTTCATGATACCACTTAAAATGTAAAAAGGCCAAGACATATCATTTCTAATCTTTGTGGCTTTATTCACTTGTAACATTCTTACATTGCTGTTTCCATCTACCCCCTCAGTGGTAAAAGTTCCCATGACCTGACAGTGACTCCACTTTTGTTCAACATGATGTTTATGTTGGAAACTCGTGTCAGACTCTAAACAAAGTACATGTAGGCACTAGTCACACAGGGAATTTGTTCTTGTATTTGTTCTTGTTTCTGTTTGTTTTTAATATTTGTTCTGTAAAAAATAGTTCTGTCTCCCCCTGTGTTTGCATGACCACTTGTTGAAAGTGTCTTTATTGAGAAGACTTGTATCACCAGGTGCAACAGTAACAGTCATGAGGAATTTGTTCATTGATGTATATATTTATAGGTTGCTGCTTCAATAATAATGTAACAAATGTGTTAAAATGTACACTTAAGCATGTACTAATGAGCAGACTGTGAGCAGGTATAATGTATAATGTAACTTGTTATTTGGACTTTGGTGTCACCAGAATTATGACAGTGTGCTCTTGTCATTTGTCACTAATTTGTACTGACTCCAGTGTTTCACTCGGCGATATTTTACCACCAGCAATATCCTTCTCTGTTAGTACATTGTAGTTCAATTTTACAGTGTTGGAATGAAAAGACGATATTACTGAGGTTAGATGTGCATGGCTATTATGTTCCCTTGAAAGAGATGATAAGTGTTGAGGTGGCACCAGATGTGAGATGAGCTGCTTAACCTGAATGCCTTGATGTTAGTATCAGAGGAAGCCTTGTTTGGAAGAATTACAATGAGCTGATATTCCTTGTGATGATAGAAAGCTCAGTGAAACTGTATTGTTGCTGTATGATGATAAGGGTTGAGTATGTTTTATAACTTGACAGGAAATGTACCAGAGACAGAAGGGCCTTATTTTCCAGTGAATGCCTTTAGAGAGAAGTTAATCATTCAGTGCCTTTGCAGTAGAAGATGAACTAGACAAAATCATAGCAGAACTATCAATACCTCTGAGCGTTATCTTCTCATGGTTGCCCATACGTGATTATGAGCACCTCAAACTGTTTTCAGTAAGAGGTGCTTGATTATGAAGAGACTTAGCGGTGAAAGTTATACGGGCTTGTGCAGAGGCATGTCTGCATTTGTCTGACAGCTATTTGACAGCTAGGAAGAGAATATCTGTTCTAGAGAAGGCTTCATGTTTCCCTTGGCAGTCTGGGTCTGTGCAGGTGAGCCCAGTAAGTGGGTGGGCCTGGCCTAGAAGGTGTAGCCTTACCTGTTCTCACGCCCCAGGATCATAATCAGTCCCTGCTGCTGCTTCTCAGTACACCCTGGCTGTAAGAGGGCAGCTCATGTTTGTACAGAAACTTAGCTGATGTCACAGGGCCTAAGGAGGGTAGTTATTGCTCAAGAAAGCTGCTGTTTATGTCAGGAAACAGATAGTGCTGATAACTCAGTTTCATTCAAACTTGTAGAATAACATCAGGTTTATGTCAATGAAGGTTAGACACCTAGATGACTAGATACACAAGAGCAGTTACTCAAGCATCTGGATAGATTTTGAAAGCACTGGCGAATAGTGGTGGATGCTAATTGAAACATTTGACAGTTTCCAAAATCTATCCAGTTGCCTGTTTTCTTGTGAACATCAGGTTTACTTCTCAATGTTAGACTGCAAATTAACCACTAGTACTGTTAGCAGAAACAACTTGGAAATGTAGGAGCATATAGGAGCATTTCTACATTTGTAAGAATATGCTTCTTTCCTTACATTAGATATATAGATATATATATTTGTGAGTGACATGCTGCTCAACCTGAAGCGCTATTTGCCAAAGTGGTTTCATTCTATTTTTGGAGGCAGTACGCTATATGGCTGCACATGCAGGTTCTCTGTTTGGTCTAGTCATGCAACATTTGAAATGGGAGCTGTATGATTGGGGTACGTGCAACCTGTAGAAAAGTGTAGTTTATACATCAACTTTAAATAACCTAGCGCCTCGCAGTTGGCAGCACCTCTTTAACCAGGTTGTTCAGTGATGATAGAGCCACTGCTGTGTTTAACATAGATCACTCAGCAAAGAAACACAGTTTGCTTGCGTTTTGGAGAAGAGCCTGTGTGGAGAGCCCCTTCTGTCCTTCTCCAGCGCCTGTTGGGAGTGTGCTTGTTGGGCTGAAGGGTCATTGTTAGCCATGTAGCAGAACTGGCACAACCCACAGCAGGCTGCAGGATTCTCCAGCAAACCACACTAACTGGACATTACTCTAGTCATTACACTAGACATGTAGAATACTAGCAGTTGTTGGTGTGTATTGAACTGAACATTTGAATTGTCATCATTTGCCCCATTTGAATTATGGGAAGGAAGTAGTTAAGTTGACTAGACTTTCTGTTGTGATATGAAATGATGTTAAATACTGTATAGTTTTATGGATTGTTGCAATGTGCTGGTCCAAGTGTTCAAGGCATGCCTTTCCTGATGCCAGGCATGGAGATGCATGGTAGTATATTGAGATCAAGGGATACTGGTACATAAGCCAATTTATCTTGAGCACTGCTATTTGTTTCTGAAACAATAGTCTGGAAAATTTATATATATAATTATAGACATAGAATAGCACAATTTTGCCTTCAACATTATCATTTTAAAGTACATGTATGAATACCACCTTCATGAACATGAAGTATTATCCACTTTCTTTCTGCCTGTGAAAGAATACACAGCACTTTTGAGAACTCTTTCCCTTCAGTTGTCATAACTAGGTGCATGTTGCCATATATCATTGTCTACATGGTTAATTAGTGGACATAGGTAATTACATATTGTGTAAGAATTACTGGAGTGCTATTTATTTGTAAGTATAGTTTCTAACAGGCTGATGTTTTATTGCTTTGTTCATTAGCATTAATCTGAACATTGTTGTAATTGTCAGACAAGTACTTGATCTTAATGGAAGCATTAATGTGCAGGAAAACTGAGAAATATTAAAAGGGCCCATATTCCCAGGTAATGAATGGTGGTTTCCACTTTGTCCAAAGTTACTTAGATCTGTGTGTCCGTCTTACCAAAATATAGACCGGCTCCAATTTGTAGAGAGTTGCCGCACAATGGACACCATGAAGAAGAGGTTACAGATGTTAGTCCAGTTTATGAGGGGGTGGCCTCGCCAAGACCTTCGTGCTGCCCAATGTTCTACTTACGTCCACACGCAGTGCACAGGCGTGGGTAAACTTCGGTGTGAGTGCTTATGTGAATGTAAGTTTCTTCATGCCTTACACCATCTTTGTATACATGATGGTCAATCATCAGAAAGCTCAATACAAGAGGGTATTCCATAGGTCCTCATACAAAGACTAAACTCTATCCACAGTTAGAGCTGACATCCGAGGTTTCGGGATATAAATATACCCCGTCTTGATCGGCCGTGTGGTTGACGCATTATTCCGCCGTCCGTCCAGTCGTCTCGCACAACGCTGTCGCTGATGCCATTATGTTCAGGCTTTTCATATCTGCTGAATAAAAATAGAAAATGAAGTTTAACACTTTTTTCTTATTGCGAAATACCTTGTTTTCTGATAACTTGGCAAGTTAGAGCTGATTGTTGGAGCCAGTTCCCGAACACCTGCACGGTGTACAGTATTCTACTTGACATGAAACCACGGTAATTAGGATGTTGAAACGACAGCAATGCATGGCACACGTGTATGACATAAAAGTCACAATTATAAGATTACAATCAATCAGAGAATCCCCAAAGGAATGAAAGATGGCTTGGACGTACGTCTCAGCTAGGGCAATTGCACTATGTGTACTGCAGTGTTGCATGTACTATGTTCTGATCTTGGAGCTTCCGAGCATGGACCAAAATGAATCACTTGAGTACACGAGTTAAGTCGTATCAAACTTTGTCTCTGTTTTTGCTCTCATCGTAAATCAGCGAAAAATTCTACTTTATCCCATGATGATTTTCTACATTTTTATAGGTTGGTAACTAGCAAGTTTTAGTAAGGATACTAAACGTTACATCGACGAATTTAAAAAAAGATGACGAAATACTCTTTGGATGTTAAAGTAACTCACAACATTTGCCACTTTGTGACAGTTATTGAATGAAACTTCAAGTCATGAGGTTCATTTGAAACTTTGTCGAAGAGAAAGAAACAGGAAAGAACTCTGTTCATTGTCTACATGGAACTGTCGAAATCACAGATGTTTTCATGGTTTTAATACTTAACTTTTAAGACATATCAGAGGGAGTGATGTGGAGTTAAACAATCTCAAGAAGGACGCATTTTAACACAGTACTGGTATTTCTTTTTGTACTTTGTTTATTTGTAATAATCACCTTCATCACCTTACATATTTGGCCAGCGGACTCTGACCATTTTGTGTTGTCACTGTCAAATTCCGCAGCCTTGTTCGCCGGCCGCGCGTGGACGGACTCTCTACGACAGGTGGACCGATTGTCACCTTTCCTAGTGGACAAAGGTCGCGCGTCTCTTATCTGTTAATTGACGTCGCCTGGCACTTTTCATCGTGGCCAAACGTACACAGAGCTGTAGCCTGTTGTCGCTATTTAGCCTCATTACAGGCGACCTCGGTAGCTGAAAGCCGTTTTGTTTCGAGCACGCGTCCTTCTATGGAATAATAACTGGACAGTGGGAAAGCGGGTAATGCTAGGGACAGGGCTGTGGTTGATATCGTGCTGTGACGAGAGAAGACCAGGATTGTTTATCACCACGTAACATATACTTATAGCACCCCACTTCATCCTAGAGTGCGCTGCGACAGGTCTGCAATTGTCCATGTATTTTCTCCTGAGCTCCCGTAATTACAAGAAATTGTCAATAAAAAACGGACGGACAATGCAAAGGTCATAGACACGACCGTCGTTTCGCACGAGTCATTTCCGTGTAAAAGGAAACGTCCACAGGACCGCAAAGAAAGTGGTGAATGTCAATGAGCTGATTTTGGTCGGTTGAAATTATCTTTAATTCACCTGAAGTTGAGTATGTCTGAAAAGCTGCATGTCGTTTATCAAACGTGTGGTCAAATCTTACCAACCAGGCACTCTATAGTGATGCCCTGTGTTTTGTAGGATTGACCCAGACAATGGAGTAGGATAGCCATGTATACAGCCTGAAATGAAGTATAAATCTCGGTGGATTACGTTTGGGAGTGTAAGAAATTCAGATGTTTCTGAGGTCGAAACCGGTCTTGCAGCCATGTTTGTCTCATGTACAAACCTGCAGATACAATATCCTGCAGATTTAACAAAATACATGTGTAACTATGATAGATTCTTTCAGCTCTCCATGTCGCCTTTTTAATGATAATCCCGTTTTACAAACTAGAATCAATGTTTTCAACAATGTTTAAACAATGTTTCAAGTTGTTTAAACAATGTTTAGAGTTATATGTTCAAGGGTTAGGTGTAACAAGTCGTTCAGTGTAATGTAGCCAGCAGCCGCCGCGCCGCGTGCCTGCGAAGCTGGTGTGTTACGCCGAAGGGCGGTTATACCGGGTATACAGATACAGATACAGAACATCGTCCAAGAGATATGAACTTTAAATCAAATCAAATTGAATCGTTTCACCAGTTAACAACATGAAGACGCCCCGGAAGGCTTTGACTTGGGACCTACAAGACCAATGAATATGTACTGTGTAACCTGGACGTTTAGTTCAGCATATTTCATGATGAAACTGATGAATATCAACATGAATAAACATCAACTCTGTGATGCACCAATATAATAGACAGTGTCCTATCGTCCGGAAAGCAGGCTAAACTGGACAGGCGTCTATTATAGCCTCCCGCCGCACCTGTACATGTCCTACTGAACAGGTTGATTGGTCGATTGAGCGTACAAACCTCACAATCAGCCTGCTACATATCCAGCTTTATCAGCGGATCTTAAACTACTAAAAGGAGAAGGTTTGTTGTAGACGGTCTTTTGTTGTTTGATTGGCGTGAACACACGGTACAAGCTGCGGGGTGACAGTGCGGAAAACACAAGTGTATCCAAATGGAAGGAAACGCATAAATCACCCACGATTGTCTTTAAATAGATACATTAGCGGGAATCTTTTGTTACTCTACTGTCGGGCAGCAGAATCGGAGATCAGCTACCGAATTAAGGTTAGAAACCCAAAAGACAAACTTGAAATAGTGGAACAAGCAACTTTGGAACTTTTAATCAATCTTTAACAGTGTTTTTGTAGGTTACTGCGGAGAGTTCGTTAACAGGAGAAAATCCTGTTTGTCTACAGACGCTAGTACAGCATTGAGAGCAAGTCAAGCAGGGCGAAAGATAATCTGACCAAACTTTTGCCCAGCACAAAGAAAATCCCAACGGGGCCAACTGTGGCACGTGCGAACTGCATTTGGAGTTCGTCCTCTTCGCTAATTCGTTCAAATGATGCCCTGTCTAATGAATGATGCACAGGTGAGATGCGATCCGGACAGAATTTGGAACATTTCGTTCCGTCCCAGGCGCTGCAGGCGTCCCACAACAGGCGATGTCGTCGTGCCACTTAACAGTTCGTAATGGTGCATTGTGACGGGAATTATTAGCGGGAATTACGCGACAAGAGATCGTGCATGATGTGAGCGTTCTCTCTGGAAAGTGAAACGTGTGCCATGAAACCAATTTGTTGATGATCTTATCACGCGGCTGTCTGTGTTTCTCAGAACAATCAGTATCGCATGTTCTTTTCGATTGTGAACCCCGGCAGCCACTCTACAAACGTTAATGGTGACAAGGTTCCAGCTTTACACACTAGTAGTGTCACCATCACCATACCGTGAAAAGTTTCGGATGATAGGGGAAATGGTTTACAACATGAGGTTATGTATGTACCGCAGAGAATATGCTAGCTACAAAGTTTGTCCTGGAGTGCATTACACGGGACAGACATGACAAGTTCAGTTGCTACTAAACTGTAACCCCGGGTCTATCTGTATATAATTGATTCAACATACAAGACCTTTAGAGGAAACCAAAACGGTTCCTATTTTATCAAGATTACACCTATGTGTTTTTACCTTCTCCATTGTCCTCTGGAACCGAATCTGTACAGCAGAGGTATAAGATAAAATTTGAAAGTTCTCTAGTTTGGACAAAGGTGACTTCATAAAGCATCTCTTCTATCGATAATCTCTTCGCACACTAGTAACATCGATTCACTACCAATGGGCAACAAGCAGATATCATTTTTGTTTATCTAAAGTAAGAATTTTTTATCAGTTTATTTCTGAATTTATTTCAAACACGAATCAAGACGAATAAATATTATCAAACACAGTTGTTCGAACTTACTGTTCTGAGAAGTTCTACCTCGGACAGGTGCAATTCAGTTTGTCCCTACGGAATAGCAAAGTGGGGATCAGCGAGAACGGGCAGCGGACAGACTAATGCTGAAGTTTTGTCCTTTTCTATGCAAGATTAGCTACACGTGTCACTATTATTAAGTAGGTCTGTTATAGAGAAAAAAGAACCACTTTTTAATTATGAAAAGAAAAAGAAAAACGGTCATTCTAGCTCAGTTGACCATTTGACAAACGTGCCCCAAGAACCACAACAGCGGTTAGAAATACTTGATTATCATCGTCTTATGGAATATCGTTCTGTCGTGTGGGTATATCCTGTCATGACTACTAGTACTTGCACCCTGGCCTGTTGTTAGACTGAGACTGTGAAGAAGAATACTCTGACCGCGCAATATTATATGTCAGGTGGCTTGACACTTGCTCAATTGGAACAACGCATTTGTGAGGAAATGTCCCTCTGCATAATAACGACATCATCAGAACACGAGTGCTTCACGGGTGTTGTGGTTGAGGTTATTCTTTTTTCCAACCAGCAGCATATCTAAACCCCTAAATAGAAACAGTATTCATTTTCTTGTATGTAGTTTCCGGCATGCCAAACGTCGCAGTCGCTGGATTATCACTGGCAAATTGAAGGTCTGGATTTTGACCACACACAAAGATGGAGCAATTGTTCGATAATCCTAATAGTTACGTTCAAAGGTGCTTTTTATTCTTTTATTTTCCCGTCGTCTGCATCAGCATAAATATTTGATGAAAATGTATGGACGATGTCAAATTACAGGTTTCGTGGACCGATTCTTTACAATTGAACATAAATTTGACCCATTTGACTCCGATTTTGTCGCCATGCGCCATCGGCTGAACTATGCAGACAATTGCAGATTATGCATCTCGTCTATTAATATTAATTATGGCCATGTTCGCGATATTTCCTCATTCGGACAGCTTCAGCACCTGTTTGGGAGATCCAAGTGAAAACTGTAATTTTCACCGCACTCAATTATCCGATTTCCTCGTCTCTAATTTGTGAGGATTTCCTCTTCAAATACGGAACCATTTTGCCGGGATAATTGACCAATTGCACGGCGTAACTGTGTGCATCCTGTCGTGACGCATTGTACAGGGCGAGGACCGCTGTGGAAAACTTTCAATTATACAATCGTTCATCATTTA